AATAGAAATTCATTCGTTTTACCTATTTTAATCATTCTCAATGGCAACAAATATATTAATTTAGAGTCACAGTGTTCATCTTAGCTTGCACTATGAACCCAAAAAAAAAAAAGAAAAAAAAGTTGGACTCATTGATTATACAAATATACTTAACCCTTTTTTTTTTTTTTTTGTAAAAAAAATCAGAATACTGAAAATAAAAACGATGCTAAACAAGTAGTCGTTTGTCTTTGTTTTTGTTTTCACTTTTTGCTTTTTTGAAATCAAAAATAGAAAACAAGAAACCACAACAAGTGATTTTGGACTTTTTTGTTACCAGTTTTTAAATTGATGTTGATTCTTATAAATTTAAGAATTTTATTTTTACGGTACATATGACTTTCATTTTTTAGTAACAACGTATATAGCGTTTAATATATATAGGGGTGATGAAATTCGAACTCGTGATCTTTATGTCACGCTGGCTCTAATACCATGTTAAAGGACCATCTCAACCAAAAGCTTAAGCTGATGGTTGAGGTCCATGAATATATTTTAATACTCGGTCTTTTATCATGAATTATATTATTAGCACAGTTTTCAAATGGCTACAATAAAATTGTGGTCAATGTAACTGAGTGAATATTAGCCCTCCAATTAATAAAATTCATCATATCCATCCATTTAGTTGACTTTAAAATCTATTAAATACGACTAAAACAAAACGTTGCTGACGTCATCACTGTCCACATGTCACTCTCATAATAATTTTTTCCCGCCTAAATGCAAAGATGTGTTAAGAGATAATCAAATCTCCTTGTATATAGCTGGTAGTTATCCTCTTCCCTTATTTGTAGCTGTTATATTTAGCCCTTCTTGACCTTTCTTACGGTCAATTATATTTTTGGTAGTTAACGATTCTTAGCCACAATTGTAGGCATAATCCTTGATTATACCGTGGCCTTAGTTTCCTTTGGTAGGTTATTTGCTTTCTCTATATATAGTTGCAAATACTTACTTTGCTATTCAATACAAAATGTATTCAAACTCTAATATGGTATCATGAGCTATTGATCCAACTTTTTTCCGCATCCGCTACTACCATGGCTACACCATCAAAACCCTTTGTTGACACCGACAAATGATGGTGACCATATTCAACTTCCCTCTCGGATAGTTTCAAACCCAAATCAAACTTCCGCTCAAACCCATTTTGGCACCATGTAGTCTCTCTACCAAGGATAGCCAACTATCATTTTTTTCTCCAAACCCCTTACGGAGAAACAAATCCATAATTCGGCACCATGTAGTCTCTCTACCAACGATAGCCAACTATCAATTTTTTTTTTCTCCACACCCCTTACGGAGAAACAAAACCATTTTCGACAACCCGTAGTTTATCTACCTAGTGTTGTCAAGCATAAACTTATTTTTCCAAACTCTTATGGAGAAACCCACCCACTACTCTCTTTTTTTTCAACAAACAAAAAAAAAAAAAAAAAAAAATGAAAAAATCATTATCAACATTTTCTTATTACAACCACAAATCATCTTTCAATATTGGACTTTCCCTTTGGTCGTCCATGTTGCGGGGGCACATTTTCGGCAATGACCAGCTTGCGGACGTCATTACTAAACCTCTTGCTATCTCCCGGTTTAACTACTTGTATTCTAAGATTGGCCTCGTCTCTCGACCGTCCATCTTGCGGGGAATGTTAAGAGATAATCAAATCTCCTTGTATATAGCTAGTAGTTATCCTCTTCCCTTATTTGTAGCTCTTATATTTAGCCTTTCTTGACCTTTCTTACGGTCAATTATATTCTTAGCCACAATTGTAGGCATAATCCTTTGATTAATTATACCGTGGCCTTAGTTTCCTTTGGTAGGTTATTTGCTTTCTCTATATATAGTTGTAAATACTTACTTTGCTATTCAATACAAAATGTATTCAAACTCTAATAAGATGATGTCATTTTTTTTTTGTGTGTGTGTGGAGTTATCATATTTAACAATTTTGAAATTTGAATATTAGAACCTTCTACATTATAATTACAACCTATCAATTTATCCAAAAAAATGAAATAATTGTAAATAGAACACTAATAAATGGACTCCTACATTGAAATATGTATTAGGCGACATTGAACAGGTAATATATCATAATTTTGATGAAAATCTAAAATTTTAAAATTACAAATATTTTTGTACAAGGTGTATTTATATTTATCCTTTTTTTTTAAAAAAAAATGTACAAATTATAAAAATAGATTTTATATAAACCGTGCATCACACGGGTTCTAACCTAGTACACCTTATAATTAAAAAAAAAAAAAAAAAAATAAACATTACAACACATAAGATAAAAAAATTGTTAAATATGGTTGCTCCACACACACATAATTGTAAATCTGGTCGAAGGATTAAACTTATAATTTTTCTTTTTTCTTTCTAAGTTTTATCTCACTTTATGTTTTCAAATCTTATGTTTAATGTCGATTGGTTTCTTGAAAGGAGAGTTAAATCTCACAATTTTTTTTATCTTCATCTTCTTCTTTTTTCTCCACCGTTTTTTCTGGTTTTCTTTTATGGAGGATGATTCATTTATTGATAAATTTGATGCAAAACTTATGGACTTTGTAATATATAATACCGTAGAGTACTAGGTTTATTGTTAATAAACTAAAATCAAATGTTGGTTTTCAATGAAGATTGGAGATTAGAATACTTTGAACTTAGAAATTGTCTGCGTCAATGGCAAAGTTCAGTTTTTTTGCTTTAGAAACTGAAAAACTGTTTTTTCAATCATAATTAAGAATTTTTTTTTTTCTTTTCCCCATTTCTAATTAAAAATTAAAGCCAATTGGATGAATGGACAAGATTGATCATTAAAATGTAGGCTCAAGATTAAAATTAATTACTATGGTTACAATTTTATTGTAGCCATTCAATAGTCTTCTTATATTATTATTACATAGGCATTTAATACATTTAATATAAAATTTCATGATATCAATTTTTTTTATTTTTTTACCCATATTAAATTATACTCTCTCCGTCCTCAAAAGTGTCACTTTGTCCCCATGTAAATTTACCTTTCCAATGTACTTATACTACTTCTAACTTTCGTAATACCCGTGAAAATTGCTCATAAGGGCCGAACTTTTGGGGATGGAGGGAGTACTTTGTATATATCCAAGGTCAAACTAGTACTTTAGAGATGTGTCTCAAGTTTGACTGTGTTAATTTAAGAACGGATAGAGTAACAATAAATCCAAAAAACCGAAAACCACACTAATACCGAATGGACTCGACCCAACCGCTAACCAGTGGGTTAAAACGGGCGCAAATTCTTAGCTACATCCTTATGCAACTAAAGATAGCTACATCACGCCTAAACGCAACTATATTAACAAAACACAAGCTACATTCTTCTTCCGTCTTTCTTTATGTCCTTCCTGCAGTGTTCTTCTTTCTTTTTTCTTAGTTTTTTTTCTAGAGCTGGGCATGGGTCGGGCTGGCTCGTGGCCGCCATGGGCACGGCAAAGTAGCGGCCCAGCACGGCATGAGGAACGAGTGGTGGGCCGTGCCGTGAAATAAATAATAATTTGGCACGAACTCGCGGGCGGCACCCCCATAATAATAAAAAAAAACTATAAATAATAAAAATAAAATAATAAAAAGAAATATAATAAATTAATAAAAAAATAATAATAATAAAAGGAACCATAATAATATAAAGAACTATAAATAGTAAAAATAAAAATAATAAAATTAATTAATAATCAAATTATGTAATTAATAATAAAAATCATGGACTGGCACGCGGCCCGGCACATGGATTGTGCCATGCCGTGGGCTAGAGTGTGTAATTTGAAGGCCCGGTAAGGCACGACCCGCCTTCACCTCAGCCCGACACGGCCCGGCCCACGACAGCACGTCTTGGCCCGAATTCCAACTCTAGTTTTTTCCTTTTTTATTTTTATTTTTTTTATTTATGATTCTTTAATTTCTTCACTTTCATAATAATTTTGATTGCAATTTTCTCTCTCCATTTTCTTCTCTTTCATTCGACATTTTCTTTCTTTTGTTTTTTGCATCATTATGGATTTGGTTGATATTCAGAAGAGATTATCAATGGAGGTTAGTTTTTGTGTCATTAATTTTTAATTAGTTTTAATTAGGTTAGATTTTGGCTGAATTTGTAATTGATTTTCTGATTTTATAATCTGATGAATTTCAATTTGAGGAGTTTGATGACTTTCAATTAACTTTTAGATGAATCTGCCGGTGAATTAGAATATTTCAATTGAATTTATTATGAATATTAGTTTACTTGATGAGTTTTTGTGATGAATTATTGAATTGTTGCATCTTGAATTCATTTGTTATTACGATTTTTGATGTTTTTTATTTATTAAGTTGCTAATATTTGTGTATAATTTTTGGAAAAAAATGAATATTGTGTACTTTAAAATTGAACATTTAGTACACTAAAAAGGAACATCTAGTACATAAAAATTGAACATTTTTTTTATTGATTTATCAATTTTTTTTTTCTTTATCCTGTTAATAGTTATATACAATGAATTTGAATATAGAAAAAATATGTTCATTTTTAATTTACGAATGTTCATAATTTTTTTGATGTGTTCATTTTTTTATATTAATGTTCATTTTATTTAATGTGTTCATATATTTTTATGAAATGTTCATTGTATTAGGTGTGGTCTAGCTATTTTATGATTGTATGATAAATGTTCATTTTTAATTAATATACTAATGTTCATAATTATTTTTGAAGTGTCCATTTTTTATTATTAAATGTTCTTTTTATTTTTTTATTTTTTTTAAGTGTCATAATTATTTTTACTAAATATTCATAATTATTTTTGAAGTGTTCATTTTTTATCATGTTCATTTTTAATATATTAATTGATAATGTTTTTTTAACATGTTCACTTTTTAAATACTAAATGTTCATTTATTATTACTGAATGTTCATTTTTATTTTTTTACTACATGTTTATTTTATAGACAATGGTACAGCTAGAACATAATGCAGCCAAGACTTATTGTCAAATGGGCACGACCGGTGACTCAAATGACAATCGTGCCGGCTCGGCCCATGCCCATTCTTCTCCCTCCTCTCCTCCCCTCTAATAAAAGAAATGTAAAACCCCCCAAAATCTGACATCTTTCCCTCTCTTTCTCCACTCTTCCCTCCCTTCTAACAAACAACTCTTCCCTTACCTTATCTTCACTCTCACCCTTCTTCTTTCTCCCAAAATTTCCAAAATCCCAAGAATTTCAACAACACCCCCATATCAAAAATGAAATCAAATCGAAATCAAGCCATTGTAACCTACCGAGCAATTCCAGGCCTTGAAACTTGCAATGTCACTTCTTCTCCAATCGAAATGGCTAATTTTAAACACCCCCATTCCAAACCCAAATGTTTCAACTATGGTTTTGCTTGTCTTTCAATGGCGGCCAAGAAAGAGGAGAGAGAATTTGAACCCACTACTACCCAGTTGCTCGAACACCCTCTCGCGTTGCTTGCGCTTGTTCCTAGAGACGCTGCGCTTTTCGCCGCCGGCGCTATTGCTGGCGCTGCTGCTAAGACTTTCACTGCTCCGCTTGATCGAATTAAGCTTCTTATGCAGGTTATTTCTTGTTTTTATTTTTTGAAAATTGGGGAATTTGGCTAGAAATTGTACCAGCTCAGGGCGGACTTGGCTTGTGCTGTGGTCAAATGACTCACCAGGCCAAAAAATTTCTAAGTTTTTTTTTTTTTAAAAAAAAAAAAAAATAATTAGTTTGTTAATTTTGTTTATCATTTTAGCTTGTTTTTATTTTTGTAATCTTTCATTTTCTATTTTATCTTGTAATATTTTTTTGGATTTTGGTAAATTTTTTTTTACATATTTTTATCGATTGTGAGTTTGTGACTCACGTCAGAATTCTGGTCGCACTGACCAGCTTGAGAATTTTGGTTTAATTATCTGAAATTTTGTTCTGTAATTCATCTAGGGTATACTACATGAAATTCATCAAAGTAAAAATGGAATTAAATTGTGATAATCTTTGGTAATAATATAGTGGCTTGTCAGAATATAATCTTGTTTGCCTGAGAATGGCTTTTTATTTATTAATTAATTTATTTTTGGAATTGTAGCTGTAGCTTGCAATGGGAAATTTGGTTTGTTTTTTGTCGGTGCCTTAAATTTTTTTTTTTTTTTTAAAAAGATAGTTTATGTTTGGAGTATATGATATCATAACTGCATAAATATTCAAGATAGTTGTTAATCTGAAAGTTGTACAGTACATTGATTGAAAATTATATTCAAGTATTTAAATTAATTGTAAATTAATCTTTGGCTGTTTCACTTGTTGACTTAAGGAAAATTATAAATAATTATACGTTTTATCGAAGCGAACTGCTTGAAATTGTTGTTAAATGTATTATGCACCCGGGTCTATCTGTTGGATGTTCCAATAAGCTATCTGAATGAGCATTAAAATAGTTTGGGGTTCAATGGACACTCTCAATTCTGGATTAAAAGAAAATTCTGTTCTAAGTTCTTGACAATTTGCTAGAATTTGGCTGTTTTTTTTTTTTTTTTTTTAAATGTGGCATGCCTCTGACCTGCCACCTTCATGATACAATAAGAATATATGAAGTATGATCTAATGGTAGGTGTGCCTTGTGGCCGTTCTTTGGGCCCATTCTATTCATTTATTTATTTATTTAATCTCGTGGGGATAATGGACTAATGGTAGGTGTTACGTGAGGGCATGGCAATATCTTATTGCTCAGATTATATACGCAGTTATTAATAAATATTTGGATTTGATTGTAAACTAATCTTGCCATTTTCCTAATGAACAGCCTGTTCAGAATAGAATATATATGTTTAAATCATCCTTTTTGTGCGATTTTGATGTTTAACATGTATTATCGTTGCTTTCAATTAAGTAGTTTCATGAGCCCCCGTTCTGCTTCCTATGTATAATTGTATACGTTTAGTAAAATCTGAATCAACAACACCTCAGTCCACAATCCTATTAAATGTTTTATCTAGTGATCTGTACCTCTTGTGAAATGTGAATGAACTTTTGTCAAATACATTAGATAGCAATGGAAAGTGTTATTGGAAAGAAAATATGACAATATTATTAATAAATTGTAATTAACGGTGATCAGAAAAAAGATTATGCTGTAAAATACCTGACTATTGGTGAGGAATTTATAAAATGAGCACAATAGACGAGGAAAATGTTGGTAATTAGTTGCACTATCAATTTGTGTTTCAGCAATGAATTATATCTTTATTGATTTACATTCATTAATGGTTGAAATTTAATTATTTGATTACTAAAATGCTAATTAGCTCACAAATGCTGTTAACCTTCCTATATGCCTTGCAGACTCATGGGGTGCGAGTAGGCCAAGAAAGTGCAAAAAAGGCTATGGGATTTCTTGAGGTTTGTCTCCTTTTATTATATTTTTATAGCCCTATTTTTGCTCAGTTTTACTCAGTGTAGTGTTTATACTAAGAGCTTTCCGTTTGGTTAAGCCTTCATTTCTTAGTATGGTTTTCAGAGGCATTCTGCTAGAGAAAAGTATAGCATTTTTTTTTATATGTTAATGATAGGCTTATTTTGGCAATATAAACTGGCATGTGGCTGATAGAATTCTCGAACTAGTGCATTGTACAAGAGTACACGTTCAGTCTTTTTATAGACATTTGTAAATTGTAATTTCATTGGCTGGGTCCTTGAAGTTGAAAAGAGTTGGACAAGCTGCTCATGAAATTATGTTTCTCTTCCTTTTCCTTTTCTAGACACAGTGTCCATTATCCAGCACGTAGACCTGTGCATCCACTTTAATTTTATGATATGTTAATTATAATTTGATAGCAATTTAACTCTTCTTGAGCTTGTTTAACTGCTATTTGTGAACCTTTCAATTTGCAATAGAGTCATGCATTAAGAATTGCTGTTTTGGCTTATGTATACAATTCAAGGAATCTGTCAGCTTTCTTAGATCATTTGTGGAGTGTGGACACCTCCACGGCTTTGTGTTGGTTGACCTTAGGCTGAGTTCATTTAGAAAGAAGGCCAAGTTTAGGAAATTCGATGTTAGATTCTTCAACATGTTTGCTAAATTTCTAATTTGGACTGTCTTGTTCCTCTTGATTTTTGTCTGCAATACATCTTGTTTTGGTTGAGGGTTGGGATGAGAGTTTCATCCCTTAGAATTCTCATAAACGATTGTTTGGATGAGAATTTTGTCCCATATACAAACTGCTTTAAGATACTTGCATAAAAAGGAAATTAGTCAGCTGATTTGAAAGAAATATTCTTAGGACTCTAAGCAATTGGTCTCATAGTACTCTGTAGTTATAGTGGGTGCATTTGGATCATAAAGTGCCTGTATCTGATTATCTTGATTGCTTGTGTTGTGTGTGGAAGACAGAGGATAATTTTTACCTGACAACTGCGGTTCTATCCCTTTCAATCCATTCTCTCTAAGTAATGACTAATGAGGATCTGCACAAAGTTATTTTTGTTTGAAGCTTCAGCCTTTAATATGTAATATGTTATTTACCTTCCAGCCGTACAGATTGACAAAGATACTGCAGTATAGAGAGACAACTTCCATGTAGCTTAAGTAACTTCATTTGTTTTAGAGATTTTTTGACTTAGAATACTAACTCATCTTAATGCCTCAAAAGTTGCTTATGCTTTCGATGGGCTAAGAGAGGTTGAATGTATAATGGTTTACATCATTATGCCCTTTTGGCCTTACCTGAGTTACCCCGACAATAAAGGAGAGGTTTCCATTTGTTCCTTAATTCTGTATGCAACTCACTTTTATTACTTCTCAATTAAGGAATACATACTGAATGAGTCATTATGTCTAGATCGTTAGTCCACTATAATTGAAATTCAAAGAAGCCTTGACAAGGTTCATAGCTAATAATGTGGGACTATATTGTTTGCGCTAATATGGTGCATCCTAATACAAAAAAGTTTTTGGACATGTGGATTATGGTTTGTACCAGGCCAATATTGGAAACAGGGATGTTTTAAAATAAAGTTGGACTTTAGTTTGAATAATTTAAGTTATACTTCTTCTCTGGGGAACTGGAGACCTTGTCTCGCCTGCTAATTCATTTATTCTCTGAATTGTATTCTTCATCAGGCAATAACTGTGATAGGAAAGGAGGAAGGCGTTAGAGGATACTGGAAAGGAAACCTTCCTCAGGTTTAAACTTTGAAATCAGCTGTTGCTTTATTTCCCTATCACTATCTTTGCCTTTTTCTGATGCAATAAGTTAAATATATATATATATATATATATATATATATATATATATATATATATATATATATATATATATATATCTTACAGGTTATACGGATCATACCCTACAGTGCAGTACAACTATTTGCTTATGAGAGCTACAAGGTGATACTTGAATCTTTCACGGTCGTTGTAGTCAATGCTCTTTTCAATTGCTTGATATACCTTATACTTGGGTCCTTCAGAAACTTTTTCGGGGAAAGGATGAGGAACTATCAGTTTTGGGACGGCTAGCAGCTGGTGCCTGTGCAGGCATGACATCAACCCTTGTGAGTTAATTTAAGTTTTTGGATCTCTAAATTTTATGTACTAGTCTTCGAATGATATCCCTATTCTCTTCACTTAATGATATTCCCCTTGTCTTATTATAACCCTTTGAACTATGTGTTCCTTAAATGTATCTTGTAAAGATATAAATTTATATAATCTACAATGAACTTTTGAAGACATTATGCATCAAGAACTCAAATGAATTGTGGCTACTAGTTTGTTTCCTTGAAATTTAGAAGTACTGTGAAAGGATCGTTTATGCAAACTAAGACATGGTTTTGTATATCTCTTTTTAGGTGACATATCCCCTAGACGTCCTGAGGCTAAGATTAGCAGTTGAGCCAGGATACAGAACCATGTCTCAGGTAAGCCTGCTTAGCTATTAGTGTTCGTTTGTATGGGGCAGGTTAAATTTCAAATATATAAATCATTCATGGAATTTTCAGATAGCCTTAAGCATGCTAAGGGAGGAAGGCATTGCTTCTTTCTACAATGGTCTTGGCCCTTCTCTTATTGGAATAGCACCTTACATTGCTGTGAATTTTTGCGTTTTTGACTTGTGAGCTTACTCTTTTGCTGGTACTCTCCTTTTGCATTCGTGATTGAAATTAAAATCACAGTTTGCGGTTAACATGGGATGTCACTCCTTTGAACTATCAGGGTGAAGAAGTCCTTGCCAGAGAAGTACCAGAACAGGCCTGAAACATCCTTGGTAACAGCACTTGTGTCAGCTACACTTGCAACACTTACGTGCTATCCTCTGGATACGATTAGAAGACAAATGCAAATGAGGGGTACACCATACAATTCAGTTCTTGATGCCTTTTCAGGTGAATTTTTGAATATCTTTACATATTAAAACTGTCAATTGTGATAGAGGCAGTTATTGACATTTAAGTGTCATATTTGTGGGGCATATGCTTGCAGTTTCTCAATTTGGTAGGTGCATTGATACGTGATCTGGGGAGAATATAACTTTATATGTCCACTACTTTCATCAGAAATGATCATGCCTATGAGAGTGTTTGTTAAACAAATATTATGATAATATGTTTACGGTTCAGCTTGTGTCCGCTGTGAATTTGTTACATATTGATTATTAACTCAGTGAGCTTAACTCTTATCATGTGCTTGTGATATATAACGTGCTTGAATGTTTAATATGTGAATCGATGTAGGTTATGCAAGTTGTGTAGCTCCAAAGTTTCTGATTTTCTGTTGTCTGTAATGGAAAAGTAATCTATGTTCATTGGTTGATGCAATACTATGACCATGATTTGTTTTATTAATCTACTTGAGAACTTGCAGAGTTGCAGGTGAAACTTAGTTTGATTATCCAGAAACAAATTAAGTTTACCATCCTGCTGACTCGTTTAAAATCTATTATGTAGTGTCCATCTTGTCACTAATGCTAAGTACTACTATTTATTAGCTATTTTCCTCATTTTTGTTAATATTACTGCCCCAATTGATACTCTTCGATTTCTTTGCATTATGAAGGAATATTGGAGCGTGATGGCTGGGTTGGACTCTATAGAGGTTTTGTCCCCAATGCTTTGAAAAACTTACCAAACAGCAGGTATGTCTTAACCTATGGCCCATCATCTGCTTCCTTTTGAGTTGCACTCAACATCTCCTCGAAATGCATCTACCTCGTAGCAAAAAAACCCATGCGGCCTGTTTTGTAGCAGTATTGGTAATGAATTTGAATGCATTTTTTAAAAAAGAAAGTCCTTTGCCTATCTTCATGGCAATAGAACTTCATTCCCAAATATGTGCTTATATTTCCCTCGTAAATTTTCGTTACCACTCAATACCTCCTCTATAAGTGGTAATAGATGAAAATGGAAATTAAAAAAAATAGATGTTTGGCGGTGGAATTGATGAGCATTACCATGGACATTGGCATGGGACTTTCTTTACAGAATTGCATACGAATCCACCATCATTTTCACCATCTGTTAACCCTCCAAGCAGGTCGTTAGTTCTGTCTTTTTTTGTGCATTTAAACTTGTGAAATGTGGACATGTGGTTCTCTGGCTTGTGTAGAATTTGGGTATTCTATTTTATTAGCTGGAATCTCCCAGCTTTGCACTGCTAACTCATATCTGGGATTGATTAAATTTGAGATCAGTTACTCTGGCTCCCCTACAAAATGTTGACAATATCCTAATGTTTTCTGGTTGCAGTATTCGGCTGACCGCCTTTGATACTGTCAAGAGTCTAGTTGCTGCAAGTGAGAAAGAGTTTCAGAGTATTGTTGAGGGAAACCGTAAGGAGGCAAAAGCAAGCTCAGTTCATTGAACGTTTGCTAGCATAGTCTCAGTACCAATTTTGTAGCTATTTTTTTTGTGGATAATTTTTTCGCCAGTATTACACGTAGTGCAGTACTAGGACAGGTCGTGAGCCCATCTTGCGTTGTTAATGTAGATTGTGCAAAAGGTTTCTTCCATTTTGGTCTAAGTAGGGACTAGGGAAAATCATAGGAAATTCCTCTGTAGAATCCAACAGGCACGTCATAGTAAATGAGTTAGGAGTCTTATGAAGTTTTCTTGCAATTTTATTAGTGAAATGCAACTACGCAAGCAACATTATTTTGTACTAAAAGAAATGTTGTTTATGTAGCCTCTCCTTCCCGAGATTAAAGCTTAAATTGGTTGTATTATTTCATACTATCAAACACCTAATCATTTACATTCATCTGAAAAGACTCTTTTCTAAATTCCAAAAAAAAGGGAAAATACCTTAAAGTTCGAGTTTTTATAGGCTAAAAATCAAGTTGAGTCAGATTTTTTTTTTAATCAGCGCTAAATGAAGTATTGTTAACCCTAAATAAAAAAATAGTCTAAACAGTCAATAATTTTTCTAAAATTCCTTTCAGTAGAAGTAGTGAATATGTTAGAACTACATAAAAGGGGGTTCATATTGTCATATTGAGCTAGCTTTTGAAAAATGCTCCTTTTAAAAACCCCCATATGTCTCTCCAAATGATACACCCACCTCAAGAATATCGGACTGCATGCTTTGATTTCATGAACTTAATGGACAATTAAGTGCAAAATGATAACAAAGAAAGAGGGCGAAAATACATTTCATACTGACATAAAGTTTCAACCAACTTACTCTATAGCCCATATTAAGTTCCTCGAAGATAATTATCTTGCTATAGATAGCATTAAAATACACAAAGCTCTGCATAATTTTATCATATATTTGTCAATCAATGTATATGCTACATTTGTATATTGTATACGTATCTTTGAATGTATTTCATTTAATCGCGTACACTTGTATATTATAATGTACCAATAACGTGTATGTATGATTATTGCCCTATGTTGTTGACAATGCAAATCAATTCGAACTTAGCTTGATGCACTGTAATGGCACGTCTTATGTCTAAGCTCTAACTAACGGTCAACTAGATTAAGTGTCAAGTGAAATATTATAATTATAATCTCATAAAACAGCTAGTAATTATACATGTTTTGCATGATCATATGTATATTATAATCATGCATATATGCGTAATAAGCGCATGTATATTCTTGCATGCAGATTATAATATATAACCATGCAGGACATGCATGATTATATATAAATATATTTGAATCCATGAATGACTATATAAATACATGTATGTGATTACCTTAGAAGTACACAACCAAAGAGGAAACCAAAAACCCTAATTAGAAATAATGAAAGAAACGAGTATCTTACAAAAGCTTTGGTCGGTGATCATGGAAAAAAGCCCTAGTTTGATTTTAATGCCATTCAAGGATGATAAGGCTAATACGGATGGCAACGAGGAGCTGCCAAAGGAGCTTCGACACGAGTTGATGCCACGACACTTGGCAGTGATATTGGATGGCAATCGGAGGTTGGCTATGCAAAGTGGCCTTAGCCCTATTGATGGTTATCTTCATGGAGTAAGGAATTTAGAAGCCTTTCTTTCATTATGTTGTAGTTAGAAAATTCCAATTGTCTCCGTTTTTGCGTTCTCTTCCGAGAATTGGCTTTGCCCAAAGGTAAGTTTATTCCCATATACTTAAAGTACTATGTCGGTTGCACTTTATCAATTGTTATTTTTATTGAAAGAGTAGCGTTGATTTGATATAATGAATTTCGCTATATTTCAATTGTTGTTATAATTTTCCCAAAGGTAAGTATTTACCGATTTTTATAGTTTCGAATGTTATTATTCCAAGATTTATGCTTGTCAGTCCTGCATCAATTTAATTTGTTCGTCTTTTATTATATTATATTGAAAATTGATGATTAATTGATCATTATTAGTCATATACTAGTACTATACATGTAAGGTGTTACAGAGCTAGTATTGAATTGAAGTGCAAAATAATTATACATTAGGAACTTGTTACTTTGAGAACCATTATTGAAGTAAATGGGTTAATCAATTTTGTTTTCCAAAGAAAAAACTTAATTACGATTGTGAAGTCAAACATGTATTGTACTAACTAATAACATTTTCTTTTTGTTGATTTAATGTAGGTAGAGCTTGATTTCCTGCTCGAGGTTTTGGAGCATTACCTAATACGCATTTCTCGTAGGTATGAGAACCTCTTAAGTGCAATTATTTGAAGTATAGTATAAGTTATTCTGATTAGTGAACATTGTAAATTAGATTATAAGCTGAAGTAGTTTTTATTAGACATTGTTTTTAAGGAGTAACCTAAGTTTTTCAAAAGGAAACATGATTAAAGGAAAGTTGATAGCTCAAAGGGTATACAATAAGGGCACAACTATGTTTATTTGAAAGTATCATTTCAAATATAGTTGGCAAACGGCTAGGGATCATGCAAGTAGAGTTCACTTGAGTCGTTCCAAGTTAGGTCGGGTTGTTTATATGGGTTTAGGTTTAATGCTGGCCTGTTATGTCTGGATCAGGTTCAATTTAGGGCGTTTTTCGAGTCATGTCATTTTCGAGCTGTATGGTATAAAATTAATGAATTATTAAACTATTGTATGAATATTCTTAGAATGTGATTGTACGACATACTTATAATATTGTGTCATTTACAGTTATGGAGGACGAGTTTCAGTGATTGGTGATACATCTTTACTACCCAATTCCTTACAAGAACTAATTGAACAAATTGAAGAAGAAACAAAAGACAGCATTGAAAGTCATCTGATTTTAGAAATGAATAACAGTGGCCAGAATGATATAAATCATGCTTGTCAAACATTGTAATGAAAGTTAAGGATGGACTTCTTCAACCCGACGATATAACCAAGTCTTTGTTAGAGCAACATCTTCGAACCAAGGTTATGGACATTCCAGCTCCTGATTTTCTCATTCGAACAAGCGACAAGATTAGTAATTACTATCTTTGGCAATGTGCTTATAGTGATATGTACTTCACCAATACACATTGGCCTGATTTTGGAAAAGATGAGTTTATAGAGGCATTACGTTCGTTTCAGAAAAGGGGGAGATGCTTTGAACATAGTTAGTACAAATATTACAATACATGTTCAAATTTATGTATATTGTATACATAATTGTTATTTTACAAATCACAAATTCTCACAATAAAGTAATGTGACATTAAATTATTAGACTGATAAATCATACGTTAGTATTCATATTTTCTTATTCTAGTAACAACTTGTACACAGAACACAGTATTTGAAAATTCAATCTCTCTCACAAGTTATTCATGATAAGTATCTTTGATATCTTTTCGATAAAACTTGGTCAACATTAATTAATATGGGTAAAACTGGGATTTCTTATGCTGTTAGAGTTTTAGATACGCAAATTTTATAATTTATCGTTTTTAATATTTTTTTCCCTTCCTCTTTACATTTTTTAGCTCGTAAAACGAGGTCTTTTTTTTTATAATTCCGAACTCGATTCGAATTCTTAACTGAGCAATTTTCTAGCAAATTGAGATTTTTTTGGATGGAAAAGTAGGTTCCATTATTGGAAACCATTAAGTGGATTTAATAGCTACAAAGTATATTATTATCTTTTTAAAGGTGGTTAAATACCCAAAAACAAATTAAGGGCTTGTTTGGCATCATTTTTTGTTTTCAAATTTTTTTTTTTTTTTTTTTTTTTGGTTAAAAAAAAAAAAGGTGTTTCCTTTTTTCTATTGTTAGTTTTCAAAATTATCATGATTTTAATAAGTTTGACTAATTTTTTTATTCATTATATGATATATATCATATGATTTTGAAAACAAAAACTCAAAAAATAGAAAATCACAACGATGCCAAACGAACCCTAATATAGTTAAAATCAAATCTTGGTAGTTTGAAAGTGGTTGTTTTCAATATTTTTAATTATTAAAAAAAAAATTGAATTTTAAAAAAATATTCTAAAACCGGTCGAGTCTAGGTTTGGAACGATTTTGTCAGTCCGGTCCGATTTCAATCCTAGCTTAAATGGTTCGATCTTTAATTCTTAGAATTCAAAATTTCGGTCTTCAATTTATTGGTCCGGTCTTAGACCGGTGAACAACCCTGAGGAGAGGGATATAATTTATTTTTTTTTTTAAAAAGAATGTGTCCAAAAAAAGGAGGCGATTCACTTATAAAAATGGTAGCAACAAGAAAGTGATGCAATTAAAAAAAAAACGGTGGGTGTTATTGTGAAAAGTATTATTAGGTCTTTAGATCCCTCACTCTGTCTTTGTATGACTAGTAGAGGTGATCATCAATGACCCAGCCCGCTAGCCTGATTCGACTTGGCCCAAAAAAGTACTAGTTTGGGTAAGTCGAAAAATGTGTTTTAAGTACAAAACCCAGCCCCAACCTAAAAAAACCTAACAAGCCCGCTTTAACCTAATAAGCTTGACATCATTTTACGCAAATTCTTATAAGCTACACACTTGTGAAATTTTTATGGTAAACCCGGGTGCACCATGCGCATGGTGCACCCGGAAGAACATTACACATATGTATAAATAACACGAGCAAAAAAAAAAGAATATTACAGACATTTGTAAAGAACGCGAGCATAATATGATCTTTTAGTTTTATCATTATGTTCTTTGAATGAATTATATGTTCTTTACATTATAAACTATGTTCTTTAATATATGTAGATTCAATAATACAAACTATGTTCTTTTACTTGAATAATAATATGTTCTTCTATTCTCATGTTCGGTTGTTCCTTTATATACTTTTAGGTATTATATTTTTTTTTATCTTTGTATTATCTTCTTTTATCCCTTATATTTTTTGAAGTACTTGTTCTTACTGTTAAGCGTGTATGTGTTTTAGTGTCCACGTTATTGAATTTATCTCTTATATTTTTGGAATTTGACCCGCCTTAATCTTCATCAATATTATTTATTAATTCTATATATATATATTTTTTTTGTATATTAATTATCATCTAATTAATTTATTTATAAAATCAGAATTATAAAGGTTGATGATAACAATAATGTATTTTTACCTCTTCTATTGATGATTGATTTTCAGACCTAAAGAACATTTGTAATACTAATAAAGAACATCATGATATTATGTAATGACCATTGTTTATATATATATATCTACCTTGCATAATCAAAAGAAAAAAATCGAAAAATATTTCACAATATGTAATAAACATTATGTGAATAAAAAAGTGCATTACTATTACCATCAAAGAATATGGACATCTATCTATACTAATATATTAAAAGGCGTTTCTAAGAACATCCACGTGTCGCGTAAACCCCCCTCACTACGCCACATCACCCACTCAACTACTCATTACGCCACGTGGCTCTTCTTTCCATTTGTGTTTTCATTGCATGTCATGTACTTATAATTAAAAAAAAAAAAGTTCTCAATAAAATTTTAACACGCAACCTCTAAATCTAAAACTAGGTGTCTTACCACCAAGCTATGTGATTTTTTATGCAATCTTTTGAATACAAAATATTAATATGTAGCAAAAGACAATATGAACAACAAATCCATAGATCAATTACAAGAAATTTGAATCATAAATTACAACATATATTAATGATCAATTCCAACTTAAAATCCGAGGCATCGCCTGGGCCCAAAAACTAGTTTAAAATAAATTATCGAGAGATCCAATAAAGATTGGTATATGATAAAATAATAATGAACATAAGGAAAGAATATAATATGTGTCAATAATATTTTGTATATTATAAACAAATATAAAGTACATACATTATGTTTTCAAGTAAAGAATATTATTAAATTATATAAAGAACATCCTAAGAAATACTAGAGGTGACCAACTATGGCCTAACCCGCTAGCCCAACCCAATCTGACCCAAAAACAGGGCGGGTTTGGACAAGCCAAAAACAATTTTTAGTTAAAAACTCGAACCCGGCCCAAAAAAACCCGAAAAGCCCGCCACTATTTTGCGAGTTTGGGCATGACATATGATGTTAAGGCCCGAGCTGGCCCGAATATTTTAATCACTTCTAAGAAATACGCATGACTATTATTAAGATGAATACATTAATTATATATAAAATAAAAAATATTGGTGAAAAAATATGACCGAAAAAATATATTTTGTAAGCTGAAATTTTGTAAATGAAATTTTAAATTTTGATATTTGAAAATGAATTCTTGAATTATTTTGGGAGAAATTAATTTTAGAGAGAAAATTATTATGAGAACCCAGCCAATATCATACATGTTCATTACAAAATAATGACATGTTCTTATATATATATATATATATATATATATATATATATATATATATATATATATATATTCATGTTCTTTATAATTTATAACAATATTCTTTCTGCTATTTTTTTTTTTGATCGGGTGCATCATGCTGCACCTGGGTGCATGCACAGATCAAGAACCCACACACTTGTGCAGCTAAGCTAGCTGCATCAGCCATATATATGAACATTTAGTATTTAAAATGAACATACGCTCTTTTTTTTTTTTCTTTTTTTTTTTTTTTTACCTTTCTTATATCTTAACTCTCTCTCTTCTTCTTCTCAATTCAAAATTTCCTCTCCCCTCTTTTTTCCTTTCCTAATAAATTTTCTTTCTTACCTCACTTTCCTTCGATCTTTAAACTTTTTTGTCCTACTTTGCATATTCTCCAATTCGGCACCAATGTAGCATTCTCCATCGTCATCATCTTCGTCGCGATCGTGAATCTTGAGGTAATTTTAAGTGTTTTTTTTAATAAATATGTGAATATTATAAAATTGTTGATTTCTATCAATTTTGCATTTGTGATTCCTAATCTATCATGTTATAGATCGATATTTATTGTCTATGATATGATGAACTAAGATTAGATTTAAGGTGGATATTCAAATTTTTAGAGTTAAAATAATTACAATTGGACTTGTGTATAATTTCTGAAAAAAGAAAAAAATGAACAAGTAGTACTTTAAAATTGAACATATTGTACAAAATGAACATTTAGTACGCTAAAAATGAACATTTAGTACATAAAAAATGAACATATTTTAACGATTTATTTTATCTTTGTTTTTTCGTAAATAATTATATACAATGAATTTTAACCTATATGAATATATGAAAATCATGTTCATTTTTAATATACTAAATGTTCATAATTTTTTTGACGTGTTCGTTTTTTTACGTGTTTATATTTTTATACTAAATTTTTATTTTATTTAATGTGTTCATATATTTTATGAAATGTTCATTTTATTAGGTATGATCCAGCTATTCTAAGAATGTATGATAAATGTTGTTCAATTTTAATATACTAAAGGTTCATTTATTTTATTTTATTTTTGACTTGTTCACTTTTTATTACTAAATATTCATATTTTTTAGGTGTTCATTTTGTTTACGCGTTCATAATTATTATTTTTTTCACTAAATGTTCATTTTTAAGGCCGTGATCCAGCAATTTTATGACTATATGATAATCATGTTCATTTTTAATATACTAAATGATCAAATTTTTTTATTTTTTTTAAACATGTTCACTATTTAGTACTAAATGTTCATTTTTTCTTACGTGTTTATTTTTTATTACTAAATGTTCATTTTTTGTAAGTGTTCATAATTTTTAATTAAACGGTTTTTTTGCACCATATACCCTTGAGTAATTGGTTTATTCACCATATACCCATGAAACTTTTCAAACTTTTTAAATTCAACAATATAATGTCATTAATACCCAAATTACTAACGGACGTCAATTCTTTTAGTCATTAAGGCTAATTGTGCCACGTGGCAAAATCTAATTGGTTATC